GGTGCAATGTTAATCAATCTAGACAGTGATGAGAACGGACTCTAAAATTGTGAGAGATGTATTTTATCATGTTTACCTAGAGTTTCATTAGCAATCATATAGCATCGATGTGTAATCTTGTGGCTATTTCCCATCATCATATCTTTTGGATCCAATTAGTTTATCTTTACGCATAAAAGCTACTTGACTTTCTCCACTGGTTGGGACAAGTTGTTAGTAAAGGAAATCAGTATTTAGTGTTGGCTCTTTGTCCAAGATGAATGTTCAACATGCTTATGTATACACACATATTATATATATATACACACACACATACGTATGTTTAATATAAGAGGGAGGTTCATTTAGGAACCTTAAATTATTTTCGGGACCCATGAACCACAATTTTTGTGAGTATTCGTGATAAAATATTCAAGATGAATGTCGTGACAGAATATTTCTTATGAATATTCACAAAATAGGTGGTTCCTCAGTTTCTAAATGAACCTGCCCCTATATATATGGATATATATGCCTTTGTGTGTATATGTATGTAGCTTATTGATGGGTATAGTAATGGCCTTCTGTTACAAACAGCAATCGTCATGAAAGTTGAGCTATACATASTGGGGACCAAACAGCGTAGACCAGATAGCTCTCATTCAAGTTACTTATTTTATATTCTTAGTCCCTGGAGTCAGGATCATTCCTTAACTGAACACATATCCTCCTCAATGTTACTTGGATACCAGCTTTTGGCTATTTTGTTTRTGTACTCATGGAACATATGTGGTCCTATTTTGCAGATATTGAGGAGTAGTTTGAAAGGATAAATGAGGACATTGAAGAGTAGTTTGAGTGGCTCCATCGATGACTCGCTCATAAGCCCTTCTTGTCATTGTTGTTGACCTCCGATGACTTCATGCGCAATTGTACYGCTAGCAATGATTGTAACAGCTACAGCCTTTGCTCAAACCATCAACATCCTTAAGGCGGTCACATAAGCTTCCAGATTCTTCTAAACAACGGTGAAACACATCAAACTACTTCTCCACAACGATGATAAATTGTTGCATTTTCCTATGCTTATTTTTCTTAGTTTCATATTCTTACTATAAGCTGTATTGAAACATAATCTTTTGCATTTTCTCCAAGATAATTGATTGGATGCTCWCAAATGGGCAAAAGTTTTCATACGCATCTGTTGGTTTTTAGAAAGTTTTAGATTACTTCCATCGAGTTTAGTTCCAAAAAAACATACTTCAATCTATGAATATCAAATTGTTTTGTTTTTGATTTAACAAATTCAAATGTGAAATATTTAGTTGTAGACCAATAAGAAACCATCTTGGTTAAGAATACAAAACTTTTTTTTTGGCTTAACAAATTAGCGTGAAATGTTATACAGAATGGTTGTCGAGATTCATCTGTAGCAAAAAGTAACTCATAAGAATCTTAATCTACTTTGCATATTTTAATTGATTTATGTGGTGTTTTAGGATACAAGACRATGGCTAAAAACAAAGAAGAGAAGCATTCAAATGTATTCTTTTTGAATAGGCAKAGATTCGTATAAATGGAACCATAAATGCATTTCTTTAGAGAACTAATTTGGGGTCCAAGAAGAAACAAAGGGGTTTGATTTATCATGCTGTAACATTACAAATGGAGTGCGTTTTTGTGTCCTGTTCTAGACACGACTTATCTTTTTGGAAACATATTTATAGGGAAATTGATAGAAATAGTCCACTAGGAAATATGGCTTCACTTTTCAGCAATTTCCCGATCTAAACTCATTTTTTAGTCAATCTTTAGACAGGAGGTTTACACATATGCATAAAGATTGATTTCGACAAAAAGAAAAAATTAAAAGAAGAGGTTTTGCGTAAGGATCCAGAAACCTTACGCATATGGTAAAGGTTTGTGGATCCAAAATGGAGAATAGAATTTCAAAATCTCTAAAACAAAAATAAATTCAACTACAACATATTCTCTATTTTAAATATTACGATACTAATTATATTATTAAAATATTTCATTTATCTAATAAACTATTATTTCTCTTTCCAAAATTTTAATCTCAAAGTTTCATATTGATGAGGATATATTAAAAACATCTCTATCAAAATAATCATTTTTGGAGGATTCTCTAAATTTGGATAAATTTTTCACACTTTCTCCTAAATTTTCTATTTTGGAGAAAAGAGATGGCGACGGATTTTTTTTTCAATGAGAAAACATTATATAGATTTTTTGTTTTCATTTATAGTTTATTTTTATTCACTTTGCATCGCACAATCACACAGCTAGTTATAGATTATAATACATATGATTAAGTAAAAAAAACTTTTTTAATAAAACTATTAAACTTTTTTATTTTGAATGATTAAGTCTCTGAACATTTTTTTAATAAAACAAACCATTGAACTTTTAAAAATTGGTTACTTACATCATTTTAACCCAAAACAAAGCTATATGTAACCGACTAGAATTGTTTTAAAATAAACCCAAAACAATTTTATCATTCTCATACCTTACGACATTCAAACCCCAAACACTATATCACTCCCCCTCGTCACTCGTTATCGCCCCATCGTTGTCTATTCTACATATTGCCTATCACGTTGTTGCCCCGTCATTGATGATAGATAAAAATAAATCAAAAAGAGGGAGATTGATAGTACGGGCCAAAAGTGTGATAGAGAGATATGGAGAACAGACAATGATGGGGCGACGAGGAATGGCAAGGGAGAGTGATACCGGCGTTTGAGTGGGGTTTGAATGACACATGATTTGAGAACGGTAAAATTAATTTAGGTTTCATTTTACTTTAAAATCTTTCTGGTCAATTATATTTAGCTTTTCTTTGGTTAAAATAATGTAGGTAACCAAATTGGCAAATTCTAAAAATTTGATGGTTTATTTTGTTTAAAAAAAAAAGGTTCAGGGATTTATTCATTTAAAATTTGAAAGTTTAACAATTTTTTCATTAAAAAAATAGTTCAGTCACTTGATCATTAGAAATAAGAAACATTAATATTTTAAAAAAAAAAAATAGTTCAAATAATTGGTTGGGTTTTTCTAAATTTATAAATCACAATAATGTTTAGGCCATTTCTAACCATTCAATAACTAATACAACTCAAAACTAACAACCGCAAGTTGTCAATACAACTAAAATTATATATTTGATACAGATATTATATCTCTTCAAGATTACATATTAATGCTATATAAATGAGTTTATGACCAACGTACGGCACAAGGAAATAAACTAACTGATTAAATTATTTCTAAGCTTTAATAACAACATGATTCCAAACATGCATATATAAGATCATTCAACATAGCTCCATCCCAACCTGCGTCATAAAATTTTAGAAAAGAAAAATAACAAGCATTAATTATGTTGACATTTATAAAAAAAGAAAACATGAATGGGAAACACGTACCTAATCTCATTTTCCAATCTTGATGATTTATCTTCTCTTGTTTTGCCTTCTCTGGATCATTTGCTCTATTTCATCAGCAATTGC